TACTTTGGGCTTGTTTTTTAGAAGTAAAAAAATGAGCATGTTAGTACCTTGCAATTGTTTAAAAAATGTATAACTCTGCTAATAAGAAAAGATATATTGGTGAAAGAAAAATGAAAATATTAAGTAGGATCATCAAAATAAAGTTCATCAAAACAAAGAAAAGACTTAAATAAAGACAAATATGTTTACATAGGCAGAGAACATTACTAGCTAGATATGTAAGAAACTATTAGCGTGAATGTGAATATTAGCAGGACAGAGGGCTTTTATTTTTATTTACCACTATTCTTTACTGACTGATTTTTAAATTATGAGCATTTATCATTTTGACAGAACATAAAATAATTAAAAATCTAACAATTTTAACGAGTTTTCCCCTTTCCAAAATGAATGAAATAGGACAATGCTTAAGCTAGCGAAAATAAAAAGCCTAAAAAGAAGTCCAAAATATAGACACAAATAGGTCAAGACTGTCAACACTAGTCTTTAAAAGTTGCTGAGTTTCTTTCCTCCTTGACAGCACCAACATTCTCTTTTTGACCAGATGCAAATTTTACTGCACACTGTGATAAATACATTCTGAAAAGTCTTAAGGAAAACATCCCTCTGCTTTTACTCCCCTGTGTACAGGTAATTATTGATTTGTTTAGGGACTCTCAGGTCTATGGAGGAGAATAACTCAAGACTCAATCTCTCTTCCTGCGGTAGAAGAGCCAAATGCTGCCATCATCCACTAACACTTCAGTGAACCATATGAAGTATCGGAAGGTACCTGGCACATTTAGCAACAGAACAGGTGTGTTCCACTTGGAAGAACTTACAAGATTTAGCAGCTGCCAAGCTATTAAAGGTATAACTTTACTCCTTATTCTATAGTTTGAATAGAAATAATTTAAAAAACAAAGAAAACTATTGAGGTTTCTTTCCTTTTTTCACTTAAAAGTACAAAGAATATAATTCTAAAGACTTCCACATGCAGAAGGGTACAATGAAACAAACAAAACAGAGATGCAAAAAAACCAGCGTGACACAAAACGCGGCAAACTGTGCAGATTACAGCTGTCTGTGTCCTTCAGTAGGTGCTAAAGGATAAAGAACACTGGCCCGAGAACAAGGAGGTTAAGTTCCTAATCAGGACTGAAATTCTGAAGGAACCTCAGAACCTATTCTGGATCTCCATGTCCTCATCTGTACATGGGGTTGACTAGAATTACCGGGGATGAAACTCTTAGGTTCCTGTCAATGTCATCAATTCTGTAATTCGGTGAACTTAGGACATCTCTCAGACCCAAATTCTAGTTACTTACCAGAGACTACTTTTCATGTTTTTTTTTTTTAATATACACAAGAAAAATGAAACTTGCTTATACAATTAAACATCTAATAGAATTTGTAGTTGGTTTATAAGGCAGGGTCTTGATAAAATCAAAACATATATATTTTGATATAATTAAATGAAGTAATACAACTATACCAGGGGTCAAGGAAGCCAAGCTGCACATTTCTCAAGGGCTGGCTGCAGCAGTCATGACTCAGAGTACACCCAGGGCATTCTGATTACCTGGGACAATGTTAAAACTTCTCAGGGACTTTTCTTTTTCTACATGAACACAGATCACTATATTTATACTTTCTCCCATTGGGAAGTAAAATGCATGTTATATCCCTAAGAGAAAAGACAGACAGGATTCTAACACATGGATTCAAATAAAGCAATCAAATCATATTCTTAAAGAAACTCAGGCATTAAACTTAAGCCCAAGGCAGGATGCTTCTCTATGAGACCTGTCCTACTTCCTCATCCAAATGGATTCTTATGCTCTGCATCTCCTGTTTTACCAATTTCATGTTTTTAAATGTTTTACTTTGCATGTCTACAATTCCTTGAGATCTATTAAAATTAGGGTTTGGGCAGCAATGGGATTGGCCCACAGCTGACTTCAAAGGTCAAGTTGGAGATATGAAATACTGGTTTTCTGGGATATAACTATAAAGGTATGTTTAAAGCATGGTCAGTCTCTGAGAGGAGAAAGCACAGAAAATTGAAAAAAATCAACTATAGTCTCGCCAACTCCACAAGCAGCCAGTAAGCTAGTGACAGCATTCCTTACATTTTCTTTGGCTGGGGCATGACTAGTTCAAGGCTATTAGACAGAAGCACACAGAGATGGGGGCTAGGTAATCCCAGTTTCAGTGGGCAGCAATTTTGTGGAGTCAGGGATACCAGCAACTGCTATAAGTCCAAGCTCTCACAGCACCTCACACAATTCTGACGGAGACTACAAACACTGTTAGCTGTCACAGAGCCTCCCCGGCATCAAAGTTAGGCTTTTACTTCATTAAATGTCTTTAGGTTATAAATTTATATTGAAGTCTTCCAAAATTCTTAAATCTGATGAATTTCAAACAAAGGATAATATTATCTGAGTAGCATTTGCCCAAAGTCAAATTCCTTGCCCATCTTTTAAACTGCATCCTCTGTAGTCCTATCAGCAACAACCATCACCATACATCCTTGCTGTATTTGAAACCAACCTTTTACTGAGAAACCATTTTTCTTTCAGTTCTTTGCAGCAAAAGCTGTGCACTCTCACATCACCCATCTGTGAGCCACAGGGCCTGGAATTAGCACTCTGGCCTTCTCTTAGCTCTGTGCTGATGATTTTAGGCTATTATACTTTCAAAGCACTCCTCCTGGGCGCCTTGACACCTGATGTAACACCGTCTATTTATCTGTGGCTGTGACCTTCGGACCTTGTGGTCTCTCTAACACAATGGTTTTCAGTGTTAGCTGCAAGTTAAGATCACCTGGAAAGCTTCTGCAATCTACCCATGCCAGACCTATTAAATCAATTTGTGGGTGTGAGGACAGGCATCGATATTTATTTTTTAAATTTCTTACGTGATTTCAATGTGAAGCCAGGGTTTAGACATCTGCGCTAACACAAGAATTAAGGACTTCAGAACTTTACAAGTGTCCCTTTCATTCCAACTCTTGCAATCATCCTGGAATTTGAGTGTCCAAGAGAACATTTACCTAACATGCTGGATCCCAGTTCCTCTGCCAGCTCAATTCTAATAACCTTTCCTTCGATTTTGCTTCCACTCTTACATACTCAATGAATTAATAATAAACCTTGAGATGTTGACATCTAAAATATTACGTAAGTGAAAGAGTATCTGGCTCTATAAGCCACAGTTCCAGTTTTTAAGTCACTTGCTGTATGACACTATGCCTTCACGTGGGTGTGGGTGATGGCTGCATCTGGCAGCCTCGCTTTCTAAGTCTGTCAGTCTTCTAATTCTACATTCTTTTCAATCTGGTTTATACTCCATGGTGAGTCATTCCAGTGACTCTCTTGGCAATGTTACAAAGCCTCTTACTCTCACCCTTTATCATATCCAAGCAACTTCAACTATGGGTCTAATTGAAGCTACCTTCTCCACTGCTATGCCCTAGATGCTGAGCACTGAAGGAAAAAATCCAACTCCACAATTATTCCATTTTAAAGGTATCCAAAGAGCAGCTCCCAGGACGACTCAGGAATTGTTTTCATATGTCCCAAATGAGCTCCTGTTCTTACTATTCTTATAGTTATTGTAATGGTCACTATTCTTCTTCCACCTCACTCCTGTGACCCTAACATTTTAAGTAGATCTTTCTTTCTGTCTTGCAGAACATAAAAGTTATTCTCTATCATTTCTCACACTAACCTGGCAGGTTATTGCACTAACCTGACTCAGGAGCTTCTGCTCTAAGGTGAGCATGGCTGACCCTTTTGTCCAGTTAATTCTTTGTTCAGCAGGGCTGATCTGTGCATCCTCGGATGCTTAACAACATCCATCCATGATCACTAACTACAAGTTACTGTTGAGACAACCAAAACTATCTACAGACATTGCCAAATATTTCCTGGGGGGCAAAATCATACCATACCACGCCTTATTCAAGTTATTCCTTCTGCTGGTATGTTTTTTTCCTAAGATTCTCTACCTAGCACACACATTTCCACCCTACAAACCTCAGCTCAAGCACGGCATCCTCTGGGAAATCTTTTTGGACTACTTCCAGGTACTCTCAGAGGATTTCTTTCTGAATGTTCCCAATGCATCTTGCACAATCTTCATTGCAGTTCTTTCCATAGTCTGTTGGTATTGCCTGCCTGCTGGTGTCTCACCTACTAGTCTGGAAGCTCCTCAAGGACAGTGCCTGGCCTCTTAATCCTGTTTCAGTGAAGACTAATAAAGTACTCATAACGAAGTCATCACTCAACATGTACAAACTGAATCACTGAATGATACATGAAACTTAATAATGATGTGGCATTTGTAAAAAAAAAAAAAAAGTGCTGATTCATGAAGTAAAGAAGCAAAGTTATTCTAAGTAACAAGCTAATATCACATAATAAGACAAGTTTAATAAGCAATATATACAATAGTACAGTGCTTGCAAAACTTTTTTTTACCAACGTACTAGTAATATCAGAAGAATACTAATTGAGATTCGTGATGGATTTGGTGACACAGGCTGAAAAACATGACATACTGGTCAATAACATACTCATATTAAATTTAAAAGAAAACATTTTAAATTATTAGCAAGTAAAAGTATCGCTCCAGGAAGTATAGCATCTTTATTCTGTGGACCCTGGTTACCTTTGGCATGAGATGTACCCTCAGCTGGAGAAGATGACTGTGTCTGCCTCACAGCTGTAGAGCCAAGTGTAGAATGGAAACAGCACAACACTTGACAGTTACCAGTTCCACTTTGGCCTACGTCCTGGGGTCTACTTTAATGACTCTGAACCTTCTGGGTTTCCTTATATGAAAAATGGCCACTATATTATTTGCCTTTTAAATTTTATAATGTCAGCACCAATATATAACAAAATTAATAATGAAAACAATGAGGAATACAAGCATGAAAAACAAGCAATATTTTATCGAGACTGAGTAAAAATCAAAGGATATGTACAACACATATTTTTGAAAATATTTACCTTCTGAGGAGCCAAAAAAGGTTTTTCCATCTTGTTTTTTTCTTTAAGGGTTAAAGGAGGAGATCGCTCCTTTATCTCGGGAGGCAGTTCTTGGTACAGTGCTGGAATGGAAAAGGAATTCATGTAATTAAGTGGAGGAATACTGTTCTGTGAGGGGAAAAATAGCAATGGAAGGGAGCAGATATGAAATTAAAGAAACTGATAATTCACTTCCTTGGTGTCACAATAAGCTGCCTTGGGTTTACTGTTATGGTGATTTGTAGTCTCATATATCAGTTACCAAAAGAACACATGCTCAGAAGTTTGAACTTCAGAAATGTAGAAGGCGTCATTTCATTTACTATGTGGTCATGCAGATGCTTTCATTTGATGTTAATGCACATTTACCAGGAACCTGTGCTATGCAAGGTTATCTGCTAGGCACTGCTGAGGAGCTATGAAGTGGATCAAAAGACAGTATTTGCTCTCAGGGAGCTTACAATCTCGTCAGAGACAGGTATGTTCCCAAGATATTGTAATATGAAATAGAATGCGACATTATTTGAAAGACAGACAACAAAGACAAATTCTGACTGGGGACGGCAGATGTTGTAGATGCCTAATGAAAAAACTGGAAGGTTTGTCAGACTCTGAAGGATAGGTAGGGTTTTGCCAGGTATCGGTGTGGAGGAAGGATAATTTGGAAAGATGGTCTGAGATAAATAAGCACAGGGCTAGGGCCCAACAAGATACTGAATATATTCACCAGTGTTGAATCTAAGATTATAATTTGCATAATTTATTTAATCTACACACAGTATTTAATTTAAAAAGTTATGTGAGAATATTAAAGGGCTAAAAAGAAAATCTATTTTGGTTAATTAAAGGACTCACACAACTCTGTATTGACAGAAATTGTTAAATTATGCCTCATCAAAACTCTAAGATTAGGAGATACAATTAATTGGCTTTCTTTATCTACTATGGGAAAGGATGTTAGATGTGATTAAGAAAAGCTGATCATGTTTTTCTTTCCAGTGGTCTAAGTTATAAACAGCATTAAGTCCTTTATAATAATTGAGTACTAATACCTTTTATTGTGCTATAGTCTTGGAAAACAGGGCTCTCAATTGAATAGTGGGTAGGGATTCTGTTTATACACACACACACACACACACACACACACACACACACACACACACACACATACACAGAGACATCTTTTGCTTTGCATATCTGACTTTAGATAAAGGGCAATTTGTCCTGCTATTTTTAGAGAAGAGCATGCTGCTGGCCCTTGTTTTTTTTTTTTTTTTTTTTTTTTCTCTCTAATGTGGAAACTGGGTAGGTGAAATTTTGTTAAACTCATATTTAAAAAAGTAGAATAAAGGAAAGGAAAATAACCCCTGAGTGCGAACTCAGTCATTATATTCTCAGCTTCCTGAGAATTTTTTCTCTTTGTTCTAACCTTTCCAAGGTGACTTTTCAAAAAGCAGTGATTGATGCCTTAAGACAACATCAATTCTCCTGGGATACAGTAAGGAATTACAGCAGCCATGGGGTCATCACTACTGAGAAATGGAATTATTTTCTGCATGTAGTCTTATTTGATTATTATGGAAAAAACCAGATTTTAATGGATTTTTAAACCATTGAGATCAAGCACCTATAGCCTCTCAAGATCCACAGCCTAAGCAGTCATTTCTGCAAACTAGATTCTAAAGTTAAAGCACCTAACATCATCCTGCTTGGAAATACACAATCTCTTCACGTTGCCAAATGAAAAAATATTTTAGATGTCTCCAGTGTATCTGGAAGAAAACAATAATTGCAAGAGCTAGTCAGAATGAGATATACTCAGGAGTGACTATAACAGTGCAGGCAGCTCTTGATTTAAAAACAGAAGCTGCTTCTGCCGAACTCCAGCTGTTGATACTGTGGGAAAGACATCCCTGGGAGGGGGAGGAAGGAGCTTGATATCTGAGATGATCTGGAAGTTGGCTGTGCCATGTTTATGGGTGATGACAGGAGAAAATACTGCTTTAAGTTTTTTTCTGTTCTGTTTCCTCTTTTAATCTTAAATTTTAAAGCTAAAGTCATTAACCACTTAAATAAAATGAATGAAAACAAGTGCACAGAGGAAATTAAGAAAGTTGTCATGAGAGAAGTGGGTCACTTTGGAGATAGTCAGTGCTTTCCAGGAGAAGGGTTTGCTGAAAGCAGCAGCTAAGCCTAGGAAGGGAGCTGCAGAGACTGACAGCGCTTGGAGCAGGGAGAGGTGCGCTGGGAAGTACCAGGATCAACAGGATAGATCGGGGCCAGAGATAAATACTATTATCTGGGCCGAGACTAGCACTCAGTAGACATGGAAGAAATTCTTCTTCCTTTCCTTCATTTCTTTTGTTCTTCAAATTCAGAATTTAGGTTAGGAATCAACAGTACTTATGTTCAGCCATTTTCGGCTAAATAGAGTTTCACACATTAGTGAAAATCAACTAGCATTTATAATAACTACATCTTGGCAGAAATAAAAGACTATTTCTAATAAATATTCAAAGTAAGGCTGCCTATACTACATTTTAAATCAGAACCTTACAATTCTAGTGTTTTTGGAAGAGAGATTAGAGATAAGCTCAAAGTCCTCATTGTATAGGAGGAAACAGGCCCCTAGAGCTTGGGTTGGAAGTCAGTCTTCCTGATCCTTCAATGTTGTGCTTTTCCTACCACATTATCAAGTTAGTTGTTGACAGGAAGCATTCTTCTGAAGCATGACTATACTCCTTTTTATTAGTTTTTATTTTCAGGCTCTCTGTTTTCCATTTTTACCTCTTAAGGCCTAATTTTTAAGGTCTTTAACAAAGGTTCACCTCTTAAGGCCAATGCAAGAATATCAGTAGCTGCCACTTTCAGGAATCAGGAACTCTTTAGAATTTTTTTGCATTTCATTTCTTTTTCCTTTTACAAATGAGGGCCTAATTTACTCGAAAATTAAGTAATAGGTGGCAGTTCGTCTTAACAGGTACCAGCTAGGACTGAGGAATACAAAGTAAAAGAATGGGAGCTGAGGCACCTGTCACTGTGGAGTCATGTAGCAAGAGAGGCGCTGACATGCTGTGTGCAAAGCAAGTGGCAGGAACTAAGAAGTCCCTAGACTAAGAAGTCCATGCAGTAGACATCCTGATCTCAGAGCGTAAAAGCTCTCTAGTGTAGTAGTGCCCTCCCTTTTTATTATTTATTTATTTTTGCATCATGCCAATGAAAAGCAATTACCCATTGGTAAGCATCTGCAAAAGTTACAAAGACAGTAAATGAAAGGCTAGAAAATGATAAAATCTTGGACTATCAGTTATACCATATTAGTAAACCAGGAAGGGAGCATAAAACTTACTTTCACTAGCCACATGATTAGCTGGAAAATAACCTTCTTGTCCCTTTCCTATGCTGCCATACCACCAGTCTTCATTATCTTTGAAAAACACTCGGATAATGTCTCCGCGATGGATGGTTAGTTCATCTGATCGATTCGCTGTGTAGTCATAAAGAGCCACTACCTAAGAGAGAGATAAGACCACCACAGCTTTATCACAACTGTACCACAGAGAAAACCCCCAACATTCACTTCCTCTTGCAGAAGAGCAGCTGAAACCAAAGCAGTACTTTGGTAAGTCTGAGGCTGTCTCAAGGTTTGCTAATGGGATCAGGGCTGGTGGGAACACAGCAGGAGAAGCAAGATAAAAGACTGTGGGGTTGAGAAATGGTTAAGAGCATTCAATACACTAAGATTAACTTCAAAATAGCAGATGTCAATTTTTTTTAGTAAATTACTTGTGAAGCAAATAAAAAAAATGCTCACACCATTCGCTTTCTTAGAATTGCCTTATATGACACCTTTATATACCATTCTCTGGGCTAAGCAGATGCATCTGAAAACAAAAAATTCTTCAGAAGGTCAACAATTTTACACAAAGGAAAAAACTCAATGGAACAACTTGATTACATAACTACATGGTGATCCCCTGGTTTACTGTTAATGTCTCTTTTTTGAGATATGTTTCTCTACAAACACATATGTTTTTGACATTTTATATAAACAACATAACCATTTGACTACCTTTAAAAATACTCTAAGTTTATTTTCTAAGGATATAGATTTAAGAGGAAAAGTCTAGGAGAGACTGTGTTGTTACAGCAGTCCTTTGATTTTTTTTTTTCCTTTCGAAAAACCCAAATCAAAATGAATGTGAGTGGCTGCACAGGTATTTAAAATGCCACACAGCAGTTACAAGGAGGCAGAGCTCAACGTGTTTTAAATATGATGCACTATATAAAGTAGGACTAATGTACATATTAAGGATAACTTATTTCTACTTTTTCCTACTTAAATGGGACTTGAAAATTTATAGGTTATATAACTATACATATAACAGAAAATTATTATATTACAATCCTTTGACTTTAGATTGAGTACTGACTCATTCACTTTAACAAATATTTATTGAAATCCTAATGCTTGTGGTACTATACCAGGAGATTAATACACAATGATGAATAGGATAATTTCTAGAAGGGGTACCTTATTTAGGCTTTGCAGGAGAATAAAGGATAATCAGGAATCAGTCAGGTGAAAAGACTGAAAGTATATCTCAAGTAGACTGAGTTGTATATGTGAGAGTCAGTGGACGAGAAAACCAACATAGTTCAATATGCTGGAAGCCTGGCATTGGAGGCAAGAGTCTCGAAAGAAGGGAGAGGGAAGTTGAGATGACAGAAATAGGTAGGTGCCCAATCAAGTGTGTTGAAAGAGTTTAGACTCATGAGGGAGGAGAAGGCAGAACTCTAATGAAGAGGTTAACAAAACTCTTTGTGATAACTTTTAATTAATTTACAATATTTATTAACACATTAACTAGGAGATTTTAAAATTTATTTATGCATACAAGCACTGGGTTACAGGCCAGAGGTGTGGAGGGTGAGAGGATTCACCAGAGACAGAGTGGGGAGTAGAACAGGCAGACTGACTGAAATACACTGCTGAGGGGAGCAGCAGGTGAGACAGGAGAGGTCTGCTGCACCATGAGGGTAGCTCCCTGGCTGGGAATCGAACTTGTGCTGCAATGACAGCAGATAGCTTCAGAGTGCTGCATCTTAACCCCTTGCGCCACCAGGGAGGCCCCCATTAATGGATTTTAATGGATAAATTTGGAATTAACTATTATCACTATATGGCATAAGGGCAGAAATGACAATTTAATTAAAATGGTACAAAAGTAATCCTTACTGAACTGCTTAGCACATTCCTTAATTTATAACATGGTATGTAGGGTATTTTTTAGTTTACAAATATTTTATAAGTTTTAGTAAATTGATGCGAAATCACTTATATAAAATTGAAACTTTTAACTTTTCCCTTCATTTTTCCTCCTTCAAACCTTTATTTTCCTACCTAGCACTCTCAGAGAAGAGGAAAAGCTAACAAAATGTTCTGAGTGATTGCCAAGTTCTAGATACTCGGCTAGCTGCTTATGTAAATTAGATAACTGAATCTTTATGACAATCCTATGAGGAGATACACTCATTTCAATTTTGTAAATGAAAACTGAAGTACAGAGAAATGGAAGAATTTTCCCAAAGTAAACTAGTAAGTGATAGAACCAGGATTTAAACAGTTTGCCTTTTTCCCCCCTTACAAAACTATATACATTTATAGCCCATCTTTGTCTAGCATCAAATATGGGAAGGGAGCAGCTGAGAGGGTAAGAGGAGGAACAGGAGAACCTCATCACTCATGAAAGACAAGACACATTCTTGGAATAGTAGTACTATGGCAGCTGGCTGTGATAAGACCAATTATCCTGGGTCATTGTAGACCTACTACGCTCCTTTCAGGATACGCAAAATAGCCTGGGTGTTGAAAGCTGTGTGGCCTTGTTCCTGATATTCCTCCCCCTGGCTCTGGTACACAATTTCAATGTATTTTATGCAAATATGAGGTCAGTGTATACTTATTTGGAGCCAGAGGTAGCTGCTGGGAAAGAGAGCAGGAGAAACCAACTTCGGCAACAGGATCACTAAGGAAGTTTCACATCAGCTTTTGTTCTTGTGTGGAACACTTGTGTAGGTCACTAATTATCTAGGATTTATCAATGTGGAGTCAGAAAACCTTTCCTGAATTTTCTACCAGGCATGGTGAATCTTTTCAGAGGTATGGGACCCAATGAACTTGTAAGAGTCTATATTTTAACTTTCCTACCAAAGTGCTTACACCGATGTCACATGACCTTGAGGTCCTTGTAAACATGTTCTGTCCTTTGTCTCTGTTACAAACTGAATTGCGCCCATGCCCAAATTCATAGGTTGAAGATTTAAGCAACAATGTGATTGCTTGGAGATAGCAGCTTTAAGGGAATTATGGACAAATGAAGCCATATGGATGGGGCGCTAATCCACTAGGACTAGTGTCCTTATAAAAAGAGGAAGAGACACCAGGAGCACATGGACATGGAGTAAAAGGCCATGTAAAAGGAATGATGAGAAGGCAGCTGTCTGTACGTGAAGAAGAGAGGCCCCAGAAGAAAATCAACTTGTAACTTGATCTTGAACTTCTGGCTTCTTGAACAGTGAGCAAACATATTTCTGTTTAAGTCACCCAATCTATGCTACTTTGTTACAGCAGACTTGGCAGACAAACACAGTCCAACAACCTAATGGTGTCAGATGAATCACACACAACCACACACAACCATCTTAGCACTGCAGATGGGTAATGTTTCACTTCTATGCATTTTAGGTCCTTAGCAGTTTATGATGTGTTCCACACTGCTATTATGTTATCTTCTGTTGTAGAAACAAAGACCCTGTCACAAACTCCACAACCAGCATCCTTAGGAGGGTGATGGTTGTGGAAGCTACAGACTCCAAACATATCACCTAATTTTACCATTATAGAAAAAAAAAATTTGCTGTGCAATCAGCAATCAGTATGTTTCACATTAGCTAATTCATTTTAGCAGTGGATTCTGCCCATATCATGTCTACCCCATTTCCAATTAGAATTTGTTATGATCTCACTATTTCAGGATAAAGTAAAGCTTCATAAAAAAGTTGGGAGACACGATTCCATGAGGAGATTAATACTTTGTTTTTCCTTATTCTGGTAGGTCTTGTCATGGAAAATACAACTTGACCATTCTTAATGAGTATTTTCTATAAGGTATCATTCCTTGCACACAGTATTCTAACATGTAGGTATAACAATCTCCTTGACAGTGCTGAGCTGACAGTAGTAAAGAAATCTTTCTGTAATAGAAGGTTAAGTATATGAGTTTATTCACTCATTTCAGAGGTCTGGGAAATGAGATATAACACAAAATCCACGAGGTCAAATTTTGACCACTATTAACATATTTGAAACAGAGTTCTCTTTCTCAAAGTTTGCCAAGTTGCTTGGGCATACACAATGTGGAAATGCAATTGACAAGCTTTATTGTGACATAGAAATTTCAGTCTTCATAGCAATGCTTGTCAGATACTACTTCTTGGTTTAAATACTACTCTTGGTTTAAATACTTTTTTTTTTTTTAAATAACAGCTTAGTTTGTCAAACTGTTATAAGACATTCAAGTGAATTCTTTGTATTATTTTTGGAGAGATGTTTCATTATTATAGTTGTCTGTGAAGTTCTCTCAATGGTTTTTCAAAGCAGAGTACTGAAGGAACACTAACCAGCACTGTTATGTTGTTTAGTTACCTTGGGAGTGGTGGGTTTTCTTGCATTCCTTTAGAGTGTGGACTTTTTCTGGTATATAGTTACTTGAGGCTGGTTTGATTCGTTCCAAAGTTTTAAGTTTTGCTAGCGCAGATTCAGAGAAGACTTTACTCTGGGGCTCAATAAATCTCATTACCAGGAATTTCTACCTGATGTTTCACATACAGGAAGGGTTTTAATTTCTGGCTATTCCCATCCTATTGTGTGACTTACTACTTTCTGATATATTTATCCCATGCACATGCAGATCAGCACTCAGTCAATGGCTTATTAAGAGGGCTTGCACTTCATATGGCTATTGACAGGATCATTTACCAATAAGAAAGAACATAAAGCTCTAATATAGAAATATTTAAATTATACTGAATGTGTGCTCAAGTAATAAAACATTTGTCCTTTTTTGATCTCATACATTTTTTCCTCAGGAATGGCCCATCTCCCGTGTGTTTGTAGCTTAGTGCAAACCTTGGCTATATAGCTGGCCCTGTTATTTTACCATTCTATATAGAATGGAATAGAAAGCAATTTACATATAGGAACAATTAATTTGAGAAAGGGGAGAAGAAATTTCTTTGTGTAGATTTCATAAGGACTGGAGAAACAAGAGAAACAGTAATATTATAATATATATATGGCCTAAGCCAGGCAGTTTCATTTACAGTATTGTTTTCTATGTAGTTACATGATGTGACTTTTTTTTTAAAGGTTTATTTATTTATTTATACAAGCACTGGGTACAGTCAGAAGCACGGGAGGGTGAGAGAATTCACCAGAGCCAGAGGGGAG